TCTTGAGCCTCTGTTTGGAGGCACAAAGTTAAGAAGTTAGGCAGTGTTTTCTTTCTGCATCATGTTCTGCATAAGAAAAGTTCTTATGATCTGCAGAAGTGAGTGAGATGGCAGAAGTTGATAAGCATTGAGACACCTATCAGCTTACAATTGGTATTTTAATTAATGATTTAAAATGGAACAGAAGTATAAACATTAGGCTAGGCAAGGTTTTCTCTGCATGGCTTAAGATTCCATATGAACATAAGTCTTTTTGTAAGCAAAAAACCAGAAACCTTTAAACAACTTTCTATACAAGAAAAACATCCTAGTGATGTGATTTCAAGGTACCCTTCTGTCATTGATTTATTCACTAAACAATTTAATCTATTTCTTCATTTACCAAAAAACTACTCTGTTTTTCATGGTAACAGAGGAATCTTTGTTGAAGTATAAAGTAGAATTACAATGTAGAATCAAAATGCCACCTAGCTCTGCAAACAATTTCTGTTTTTATTGTGATGTAGTTCAAACACTTGCATGATGTCAGAAACCTACGGTTTTAGGATGGGTGCTCACTCATCTTGGAGTAACTCTAACAGAGAAATTCAGCAATGATAGACAAGCATTTGGGTGAATTTTTACCCAGAGAGTGATAGGACTAAACTTTTGAACACACACCAGAGCTGTCCTTCCAATTTCCTTAATCATGTGTTTGTATTTTGGATTTTTAAGAATAAAAGCATAATGAAACACGTAACTTTTCCAGCAGGTCAATTATGAAAACATTTATCATGTTCAATCAATAAAAGATCAAGTAAAATGTGGAATTTCTGATTCTGCCAGTTTCCATTATTGCTTTGGAAAAGAAATTTAATTCTCTTTAAAAGATTGTTTTACCCAGCAGTATTTCTGAATTGATTTTGACTAAAGAGCTTATGAGAATTAATTTTATGCATTGTTTTCTCTTCTTTCTAGTAATGATTCAGCTGTCAGTTAAGTTTCTCCAGATAAGATTTTTCCATTAATTTTTTTTAATTTTCTTTTTTAAGGAGGGGTCATGATTGATATGCAAATACAGGAAGTATTTGCACCCTTTCCATCACTACTTCTAGGAATATTTTAAATTCATTTATTTGTATTTCTTGTCTTCCATTTCCAAGGTATTAGAAATCTGTGGCTTTGAGATGGGCATACTTCAGGATTGTGGATGTGATGAATGGAGCGTAGAAACAGAATTTCAGCACAGATGTTTTCTTAGAGAAACATCATTTTTGGTGGGTTTCTTAATATAAGGTGTATCCAGTTACTTTCCTATGGGGAAATATAGGCAGTTTCTGTGGGAAGTCCTTGAGACAAACCAGAGATGACCATGAACTAAAATCATATCTCTAAATAATTTAAAACTTTGGAAAAGTTGAGCCAGAAATCCTGTTTTTAGCACAAATGAGCTCTCATACCTTCATAATCGCTTTCTTTCAAAATTTTTGCTTCTGTATTTTTGTCAATTTGGCTCCTTACATGTGTTATGAGTTCTTTTTTGTCCATGTTCAAGTCTTTTCTGACAACTCTTGCCTGCTGAGCTGAATTTCTGTGTTAGCAAGCATTTAAATGCACATTCATGCATGAGAAAACAAGGTGATTAAAAAAAAAATCAGTGTTTGCTTTTTTTTTTTGTTTCTAAAATTTGCCTCCAGATGTGCATTTCCTATAACTGTCTTGGAGCAGGAGCCATCTTGTGAGTATCATGACAATACCTAAAAGATTATTTTTGCTACTAAAGTAAACAGACTGCAGGGAAGCTTTTCAGTGTTCAGATGTTTCATTCACCCAGTTGATCCTTTTGAGGATAATTGGTGCACATGCCCATGCCAGGGTACTATCATCTGCAGTGATCCTGCTGAAAAGACTTCTTTTTTGTCTCTGCATTGAACACTGTGGAGAGCTGCACACCTTCACTTTAACTGATCCTATTAATAGATATCACAAATCAGGGAAAATCTATACTCTTACTTACAGTGTTACTGTTAGATGTATTAGTACAGTGTTATTGTTAGATGTATTACCTAGTTTCATGGATAGCTCTTTTAAAGATATTGAGAGGGTAATTTCCAATAGAGATACTGGAAGAGTCATTTTTGATTATTTAATACAGCAGTTATACGGCGCTTAACCTAAAATAATAACAGCTTTTATTAAAGCTTCATAAAGAGATTTTTTTTTCCAAAGAGCTGTTGACCTCTGTAGTTATTGTGATCATTTGCCAAGGGGAAACCCCATCTTTCTGCCCTGGTGTGAATGCAGTGTGAATGTTGTAGCAGGGGCTTCTAAGAGAGTACCTACCCAGGATTAATTCTGCAAGGCAAGTATTGGTCCTCTGATGACAAGGCTAGTGTAACCTGGTGCTGTAAATACTGTTTGCGTTTTCACTGCCTTTGATGCCACAGTCAGGATGTAATGAACCATCATCAGGAGGAAATAGAAAAGGAAAGGAACCTAATTTAATTGTAAGAATTAATAATGCTTTTGATGAGGTTTTTACTTTGGAACTACTAAGGTGGCTTGATGTGGAAGCTGATAGTTGCCTTGGTAATTTCATTTAGTCCTTTTAAGGAATTGAGTTTTCATGTTAGTTTTCACAAATAAGCCAAGTACAGACCTACATATCACGTGATCTGATATCATTGTTGGTAGAGTTGTCAGTGGTAGGGTATGAAGATTTTTTCTTTGTGAGTAAAGCAAAGGCAGACTTTTTTTGAGAACCTTGACAGTACCTGACAGTACCTTGGCTTGCTTCTCTTCATGTTACCAGCCCATCACCTGCATGCCTCCATTAACAGTGTATCTTCAACTTGAAAGAAAAACTACTCAACCACTAGTTTTGTTCTAGTGCTTATGTTTTCCTGAGCTAGAATACTGGAAGTTTGCTCGAAGACCTAAGCAGGTAAAAAGGGAGAACAAATAAGCAAAGGGTGTAGTGGAAACCTTGGTGTTTTCATCAGGTTAGCTAAAGCCCTGACTCTCAGAAATATGAAAGAAAGGGAATACTGAGGGCTTATTTTATGACCTGAATGATAATGAATATTACCTTCAAAGCAGACAGAGTGCAGTATTCCCAAGTGGCTGTATGTGCATTTAGAATGAGAGAATAGAATAAGATTTTGCCAAAAAAACAAAACAAAACAAAACAAAAAGCTCTATTTTATTATTTTCTTTGCCAGGTTCTTTGATACATCCCTTCATTTGCAGACAGGTTGTAGAGGATAACTGCATATTCACATATGAGGATCATACAATTTTTTAAATTCCTTCTTTCCCCAAGCAGACAGCTGTAATATTTTTCCTGTTAGCTACCACATTTAATATTTTGATGCAAGTGCTTGAAATGAAAACAATGTGCCCCAGTGCCCCAATTAAAAAACTGTTGTGCTAAACAAGTACCTTCTGGTCACCACTTTTTCCCACTTCTCTGCTCCCCTTATTAATTATCAGTATGGTTACCTCTGTGCTTCCTCCCTGAAAAGAGTAAGGGAGTACTTAGTACCCACCTCATCTCTCTGTTCACCTTCACACATCAGCAAGTATGGTTGTATACTAATGAAAAGATAGTTTTGTTCTTAAGTGAGCTGCCTGTAGAGATAGTTCAGGGCTCCCCTGTAACTCCTGCATTCCAGAAGAAGCAAAATAAAAATCACCTCTTCCTTGGAAGTACATTTCATGCATCTCCATCTTTGTGATAGGACTGGAATCATTACACAGCAGTTGGCTCTGATACGCTTGCACAGACACAAATTGAGTCTGACAGGACTGGTGTCTCATGGACTTTGCTGTTATTTGAAATGCTGGCATGAAGATGGTAGCGATGAAAGGGGAGAGCTGGTGCCTTTAGCATTTTGCCTATGAAGATTTCTTAGACTTGTATTTTTTGATAGCAGTAGCTGACTCAAAAGACAGTTTTACAAAAGAGATTTGTAACATAGTGTAGATTTCTACCAGCTGTTCATGTCTTTTCTTCCTTGAGTAAATTCTTTTGAGCATTTCTCTGTACTGAAAATGGGCTCTTTAAACCACCCACAAAGCTGTAAGATCTATTTAGTGGAATAATAATTAGTATACTTTTTTCTCTGCCCTCTTGGTTTTCATCTTTGGAAGCCACTTGTGTGGTAATGAAGGTAGTAGAATCAAACTTAACAAAGCTTACGTGTTGCAGATCCTTTAGAAAGTATAATTGCATGTCATGTTATTTTAGTGCCAGTGTCAGACTGCTTAGGGATATCTCTAGTATTTCCTGATGGAGGAGGAAAAATATTTTTATATTCCTTAATTTCTGTTAGTGTGGCATATTTGAACAAGGATAAAACACTGTTTTATTAAGTGAGGTACTTGAGCTGTAGTTCTACCAGTGTATCATATCCAATTACACATTGTAATAAATTAAATGGATTGAATTGAGATCTCAGCCCTTTATTCAGCGCCAGATTTCTAGTTTAGTATTAGGCATAATTCAGATATGTGCAAGAAATCACAACAGGAATTTCAACCTTTGAAAGTTACTGAACAATGCAATATGTTAATAATACGTTGTGAAGTAAATTTTGTGGTGTTATTCTTACTAGATGCCAAGGCATCAACTCCCTGTTGGCATATGGATTTGTTATGGATATCTAAGCTGCTCTGATTACCTTCTTACAACATGAGTTCCAGTGATGTCTTAAGCCTCATCATACCAGTTTCTTTGGTTTAGGACATGCTGTAGTTCTAACTAAAGGTTCAGGATGTGATAGTTGTTTGATTATGTGGTAAAGATACAATAAGAAATGTGTTCTAACAGTGCTAACATATACTGTGTCTTGGATCTTCTTGCATATACCAGTAGCTTGATATTAATTATGCTTCTTTCTGCTTTACCCTTTTGTCTTCTAAAATACTTTTGCCTCAAATTGTGAATGCATTAAAAAAAAAAAAAGAGAAAATAAAAACTCTGGTCTCTTTTAGCTAATTGCATTTTTATCTTTTCACAGGCTCTGAAAATACTTCATCTGAAATTTCAGACTGGACAGACTCGCAGTGGCTTCTAAGCCAGTGAGAACAAGGCTGCCAAAGCATGCTGGTGCCAAACTGTCGGATGATGCACGTAGTCAGGCCAGTGGTGGTTCTTCTGTGCTTGCTGCTCTATGCTGATGCTGAAAGTAAGCTTATTCTTCATTTATGCTTAGCTCTCAGCCATCATGAATAGTTTTGTTTTCAGCTGGTCATTACTATGGGTTTCAGAATGAGTTTCCTTTTGAATGATTCTTCAAAAAATTTGAGGTCCTCTCTAGATCACAGCAAGTATTTGAAAAAGATTATTTATGCAACTTACTGTTTCTTCTTCTTAGTACCACTTTTCTTAAGCGAGGAGTGGTTCATGTAAGATGGTGGAAACCACTGTCACAGTTACACAGTCAAAACTAAAACCAACCTTGCTTATCAGACATTGGTCAAATACCTTAAAGACATCTGTCATTCTTTGTATATTTCTGTCTTAACTTTGATGGAAAAAAAAATATATCTCCCTCCCAATTAATACTCAGTTCAATTAAAATTCCTGTCCCTTTGTAAGTGCTGCAACAGCTGTTCTAATGTATTATTTCCGACAGCTGTCTCAGAGTACAGTATCCAAACAAATCAAGCAGAACTGACAACTTAGTGGCTGGCCTAAACATGTGACAATTCAGTGAGGAAAGGCACCTATGTTTACTTGTACTGAGGGGAAACTGCTGGGGTTTGGTCAATTAGGTTATCTATTAATGGAAAGATAATATCTTCTTTGTAATTAGGAAATCATTAGGTCTGCCTTGTTTACATGTGTTCCTTCTCCCAGCTGCCCTTTGGCTTCTTCCAGAAGTAATGTGCAAATGAGAAAAGCCATTTGCTTTCCACCTGTTGATCTGCAGGTTTACTACAAGCTGATTTTAACACTGACTATAAGCTGACTGCTAACATTCACTTCATTGAGGGATATTTTCCTATTTTTCTACTAGTTCCTGACTCTATGCAGACACATGACCAATCAATAAATTTGTTTCAGCTCTGTCTTTGGAAGACTTCCATGTTTTTTCACACATGTGTTAAATTAAATAGAAACACAGAGTAATAGAATCAGCTTCAGTAAGGCTGGATGAATCAGTTTTCAATAAACATACAGAAGAGTTCTTCATCACCCCACTTATCACCTGCACTCCACGTATACAGAGTCACAGCAGTAAAAGAGATACCAGCATTTTTGAGTTTCGTGCATAATAAGTTTTCCTTCTTTTAAATGCAGATATGTGAAAGTGAAGTAAATGGAGGAAAAAGGACAAAACATACATATTTGTTGCGTACTGACAGCTGAGATTCTTTGGCCCCTTTCCAGTTAGATAATGACCAGCTGGGATGATTGTGTCTAAGGTGAAGCCAAGGACATTTTAACACTTTAGCCAGCAAATAATTAATTGGGAAGTGGGCCCATGTGTTGGACACTTTGTGGTATTCCACCTATTTTAAAAGTTGTAAGAAGCACAAAGATTAGCTTTTTGAGGCAGTTTCTCTCGGAATGAAATCATGATTGTTAAGTATTTAATATGCACCATCTTTTAAGTTGCTTAAATATTTATATACATATATGCAAATGTTATACATTATATGATATTAATTAAATATCATATGTGTGTCATATATATGTTTATTTGACTCCACTTAATATTGCATTTATATTGTGAATGTTAAGTTAATGTATTTCTAGTTTACTAATTTCTTTGAAGGTGTAGTCACACTTTCATCTTACACACAGTACTTTATTTGGGACATACACTGAATCTCCACAGACATAGTTATTTTATGGCCTGGGTGAGACAGTACAGCATCCATGAGCCTTGCGTATGCAGAAACACAGAAATGTGTGTCTTTGTCCAGGATTAGCCCTCCATGCCTGAAGAAAAGTTCCTGTTGTGCTGGAGTTGCTCTGCCCTCTGCTCTTGCACATACTCTTGCTCCTGTTTTGTCTTGCTCTTTCTAGAAGGGCCCCACACCCTACTTTGACCTAGTGCTTTTCTTGAAATTCTTCACAAAGAGTGGCAGGAGCATATTACTTCATTTTAATGGGAAGAGGGCACACAAGGTGAGACAAAGGGAACAAAAAGATTTGTTGTTTTTTTCTCTGTCACCCTGTAAAGGCCGCGCTTTCCTTTTTTCTTGCCATTACTCTCCTGTTGCTAAGATCAAGGCACTGCAGAAGAGAAGGTATATCTAAACATTGACACTAGCTTTCTAGAGTAGTTGCAAATGAGTAAAGAACTCATGCTCTTCCAGTCTCACTGTCAAATCACTGTGAGTGGGACTAGTATCACCAAGTAGCAAGCCAGTTTAATGCTACTGAACTGGTTTCCAATGGTAGCCCTTAGTACTTTTGGTTTACATACAACCTTCACAGTTGAGAGAGGGAGGGGATGAGATACTTATTTTCGCTTCATCATTCTGGAAGACCCCACACTCCGAAATGTGTTGGCGGGGGCTGATAAACATACTGTGTCAACAAGTATATGTGCAAACCAGATTTGATTCTTACTCTTAATCCAGAAACTAAATTTACGCTTGACTGAGAAAAGTAAATACAATTGAAAAGTGGCAAAACTACCTTTACTGTTTTTACCTTTTGATGTTAGTAATATGATGTGATGCTTTTAAATACAAGAAGTGAAAAAAATCTCAAGAGTTATGAGTATTTTTAGATGTCTTCTTTTATGTTTGGTATTTGTAGGATCCATACAGTAAGAAGGAGTAAAACACCTTTTGCTGAGGAAAGAAAGTACTTGTTCATTAGTACTTGCTCACTGGGGAGCAGTAGTCTGCTAGTCTACAGTGGGTTTTTTTGGGTGGACTGTTCACAGTGGCTCACCACATCTACTGAGATATTAGTAATATAGCTTTGTTTGTCATAAGAAAAGAACTGGGTTTTTTCTTGTTTCTTTAAATGAACTGACAGAACAGTAACTATCCAGAAACTTTATGCAGGTTCATCTGTTTAATAACAAGATGCATATATGTTTTAGAGACTCCTACATAACATATTTCTTTAAAAACTATCAAATATATTATGTGTTTCTGACCTTGCCAAGGGTGACTGAGCTTACTGAACCACTGAGCTCAAAGAAAGATAGGAAATATAAATTCCTTATAAAGTGTTATTCCTGGTCTTTCCTATTATTCCAATTTTTGAAAAATAGGAGTTTAACTTGTATTAGTAGAATCAAATATTTTTCTGCAGATAGTCTGCATTCTGCTTTTTAGTAATTGAGTTGATTCTTGTGTGTCCTGTTCCTTTTCCACACTGAGAAAGCCCTGGCCACACCAGCATTTCAAAATTCTCTGCTGTGTTAACTGCTACATTAATTCTCTGCAGTAACTTTGGCTGTTTAGTGCTCTTCCTTCCTTCTTGGTTACATAGCTTCTGCTCTGACATTTTTCTTCTGTTACTTCTTTGGAGAAGCTGTTTCAGAAAAGAAGCAAAAATTTTCTCTTCCTTCAGCAGAAGTGTTTGCAGCTCACTGTAAAAAGGCAAACAGAAATACTTACTAAAAACATGGCATTTGCTGTATACTGCTTCTATTCCCAATTGTTTGAAATGTGAATAATGCTTAGCTTGTTCTTTGGCTTCTAATGCATATTGTGACAGTTACCATCATGCAGGGAACCACTGTACCATCATATCATCATCTCTAGGCCAGGATCAGTTCTGACAGGAGAGTGATTATTTATAACAGATGTTGGGGTAATTGAGACAAATTCTTGTTTAGCAGGATGTAAAGACAGTAATTTAGTATTGGTGAAACCATTTTTTCCCTCTATATTTTGTTTCCACTTTTTAAACAGTTTTGCTTTTTAGGGAATATGTGTGTTTTTCCCTGCTAATACTACTTTTTCTCTAAAAAAACTTCTTACGTGCTTCAACTATCTGAAACACATTCAGAGTCCACACTGAATTTTCTTCTGTCTAAGCACTTGTCTTTAAGACTAAACTACCAACAGATCTTTCAAAGTAATTAAATTACAGAAAGCAGTTATGTTATAGTAAGTCTTACAAATGGACATACATGGTTCACAGCAAACACATCCACTGTTCCAGAATGAGTTCATAAACACTATATGCAGTGAAACCCAATCTGGAAAAATTATTTACTTTTTTGTGCATGTACCTTTGATAGTTAGTGAATTTTTTTCAGAGTACATTATATTTACATTCAAACGCTGATATATTTTAACAGGTAATTTCAATTAATTGCTTTCAAGTATGGGCAGTGACAAAAAATTTAAAAATAAAATATTTCTGTTCTTTATTGGTAATTTTTTACAGTATCATTTGTCTTTATATTGGTGCTGATAGCATGCGCCATATGTAAGATACAGCCCTTTGGTTATATTGCACTTTGTTTTTTTTAAATAATGGTGATTCAAGAGAGTTGAACTATAAGCTTGGGATTTTTTTAAGTGGAAAAAAGGCTTCCAATTTTCTTTCTTTTTTTTCCCAAGAATTTTGATAGCCTCTCTTCAGCTCAACACTAGGACATTTTTCAGTTGCTTTGATGAAAATTAGTACATACTGTTGAAAGAGTAATTTTATGTTGGACTTGTTAAATATGATATTACATATATCAAGTAAATCACCCATCAGTTAAAGTTTTAGTTTTAGGGGAAAGTGGGGCAGTTAGTTGTACCAAACCATTCTAGATGCATTCATTTTGCTCTACAGCAAAGTGATGGCTTTGGAATAAATGTGATGGTTGAGATTAAGAGTCAGAGAAAATGAAAATATTATGTGATCATTCCTGACATACTGATTTAGCTACAGAAACTACAGGTGATTAAACTCTTTGCATGAGCCCGGGTTTATCCAATCCTTATTTTTCAAATCCTTACACTGATGCAAATTTGAATAATTTAGTTCCAGTGGTAGCTATAACTACCACCACCATATCTGTTTAACCTGGTGTAAATTATCAATAGCAAAATTGTGAGCTGCTTGGGGAATAATTCTTTTCAGTTTAAATAATTGTTATTAATGTGTGTTTTGCTTAAATCTAAATCTGTACATAAGGAAGCATTTTGAAATGTAATATAAAAAGAAATTTGTGTGTATTTTGTAAAGTGTAGATTCAGAATTCAATCATCA